GCAGTCCATAAAGTGCTCTATAAAATGTGAACTATTATTTAAAATGAAATAATCAAAATGATTTCACTTTAGAGGATCTGAGCAAACAGCAAATGTCTTGATTCTAAATTAAGGACAGCGGGAGATGCAAAGTTTGTTAATTCTCAATTCTATGATTCTGAGCATTTCTGAATTACTTCACCTTGAAAGTACTATTCCTGACTCTTTTTTAAATGGTTGGGATATTGGCAATAATGATGGAAAAGGTGGAATTGCTGGTTATAACTGAAACTTGGAAGGATGCCTTTAAGTTCCTTTAAGAACACATGGCTTCCATTGCCACTGCCCTCACTTGAGTGGTTAGAAGGAGCTTGATGGCATGCTGGTTATCAACCAATGAGAAAACAAGCACCTACTAATTCTAGACACTGTGCTAGGTCATGGTGAAAGAAAGACAAAAATGAATCAGTCTTTGCAGTGAAAAAAACTTATCGATGTATTATATATATTACATATATTATATAGGCAGCCTATATTGAAGCAGTTGATCCTCTGAAAGCCTTTTGAAAAACAGATTCATAGAAATGGAATGGAAAGGAAAATGAGAGATGCCATATTCCAGCACCTTCATTTTACTGCTGACAAGGCTGCAGCCAAGAGACAGTGAGTGATGTACCTATAATCCCAGACCAAGCAAGGGTGAGATGAGAACATGGTTTTCTTGACTCTCCCTCTAGTTCTCTTCTTACCACAATGCACTGGTGAGAGAAGTAACCAGAATACCACAAAAGAATGTTTCTCTGTCAATGTTCGAAGCCCCAAGGTAAAATTAATGAATCAGTTACAACAGGTGACCAGATATCATGGACATTCCAAGACCTTAGTCATCCAATAAGTATTTATTAAGTATCTAACATGTGTCAGGCATTATGCTAAGTGGTGGGGATAGAAAGAAAGGCAAAAGATAGACCTTGCTCTCAAAGAGCCAAGAATGTATTATGGGATACAACATGCAAATAACTATGTATTAACAAGATACATTCAGAATAAATTGGAATTATCAACAGAAGGAAGGCACTAGAATTTAAGGGGGATTAGGAAAGGCTTCCTATAGGAAAGATTACTGGTTATGATGTTATTGGGCTACAAACAGCATAGGAAGGTTGGGAATCGGTAGATGGAAACAAGTATAGCATTGAATATGAGGGATAAACTAAAATAGACTGTCTCAAAATCTTACCAAATAAACTATGCCCAAAGGGCTATAAAAAGGTGCATACCCTTTGACCTACCAATAGCACTTCTAGGGCTGTATCCCAAAGAGATCAAAAAAATGGGAAAAGGACCCACATGTACAAAAATATTTATAGCAGTTCTTTTTGTGGTGGTCAAGAATTGGAAAGTGAGGGGATGCCTATCAATTGGGAAATGGCTGTACAAGTTGTGATATATGAATGTAATGGATTACTATTGTGAGAAATGTTGAGCAGGCAGACATCAGAAAAACCCAGAAAGACTTGTATGGACTGAAGCTAAGTGAAGTGAGCAGTACCAGGAGAACATTGTACACAGTAACAGCCATGTTGTGTAATGACTAATTTTGATAGACTTAGCCCTTCTCAGCAATGTAAGGATCTAAGACATTATTAAAGGTCTCATTCCAAAGAAAGAACTATGGAGTTTGAATGCAGATCTAAGCATACTATTTGCCATTTTTTTTCTTCTGTTTTGTTGTGTATCCTCTTTCTTGCGGTTCCTCCTACTGGTTCTAATTCTTCCTTACAACATGACTGTGTCAATAAGTTTAATTGGAAAGTAAAAAAAAAAAAATCTTACCAAATAGTGAAAGAATTATAGAAACCTTATACTTTAGTAATAAAAAATGTTATTATAGGACTGTGCTATAGAGCTGCTCAGAACATTGATACGAGTCCAGACATGTTAAACAAGATTAAGGAAGCTGGGAAATTAGTGCAAGTAATCAATTAAGGAACTATCATGTGCAACACACTGTTCTAGGTGTCAGGGATATAATGACAAAAGTGCAGAAACACAAGTAATTACAGTATGGCTTTGGAAAGGAGGGCATTAGCAGCTGGGAAAGTCAAATTACAGAGACATCTTAAATTTACATAGCACTTTCATGTTCATAATGGCCTTTCCTCATGTGAAGCAGCAGCTTCACAGATAGTAATCTGAAATAGGTAATGCAAATATTATTATGTCCATTTTAGAGATGAGGAAAGTGAACCCTCAAGAATCAAGTATCATGCCCATGGTCACAAAGCTAGTAAGTGTCAATGGTAGGATTGAAAACCAGGTCTCTTGTCCCACACCTTCTTTCCATTGAAAGAGATCTTCATTATCTACACATAGATATGAGTATAATTAGAAAAAGGCCTCTTTGGAATTCTATGTGTGGTGAGGATTGTGGATAAGACAAGCTATCGCTTCCTAGAAAAAGGAGGTCTAGAATCCAAAAAAAAAAAAAAGAAAGAAAAGAAAAACAAAATGTGCTTGACTTAGGCCTAAGTATAGGCATATACAACAAATATTTGTTGGTGAGCCACTACCACAACATATGCAGCTTCAACATTTATGGATGCCACTGTCTTCTGATATTCAAAGGCTATCATGTGAAAGGGGGAGTAGTTTTGTTCTATGTTGCTCCACGGAACATAACTCAGATGAGTGGGAAGAAGTAAGAGGGAAATAGATTTTAGTGATTTTATGATAAAAATGTTCAAACCATTAGTATGTCCAACAGTGGAAGGAAAGGGCTGCCCTTTGAATGACGGGGTGCCTTTTCACTAGAGGTGTTCAAACGGAACAGGGATCTGATAGGAAAAATTTTACATTTGGTGGGACATTGGACTTTGTTACTCCTTTGAGTGGAATTCTATAATTCTAGTTACTAGAATTCTAATAGTAACAACATTTTATAGTAATTTATAGTTTACAATGTACTTTCTTTAAGTCAATGGAAGTTTATTGTTAACACAACAACTAGAGTGGGATTGTGGGTAGAAAAAAAGCAACACAACAAACCACTGAACATGAAGTCAAGGGACCTGAATTCCAATCCCACTACTCAACATGCATGACATTGGACAAGTCATTTCCCCTGTCTGCATCTCAGCATTCTCATTTGTAAAATGAAGGGTCTAGACTAGATGACTTCTAAGGGCTCTGCTTTAAAGTCTCGATACCCTGAACCCTATGAAATGGGCAGTACAATATTATTAAACTCATTTTACAGATGACGAAACAGGCTTAGAAAGGATAAGTTACTCAAGTCCAAGGCCACATAGCTGATAAGTACCAAAGATGAGAACCCAAGTCTCCCAACTCTCTGCCCAGTGTTCTTTCCACCATACCACAAAATTTATTTTATTGAACATTCTGGTGGGAGAGGAATCTATCAGTGAGCAATTCAAGTTTAAGAAAGGAAAATATAACAAAATACAGGAGGCACAAGTAAAACTTATTTTCAAAACAAAAACAAAAACAGGCGTTGAGAAAAAAATAGAAAGGGGATTGTTTGAAAAAAAGAAAAAGCTTTTAGACTGTTTTAAAAAAACAACTCTTTGCAAACCCATGATAACTATTTGCCAAAGACCAAAAAGAATAGGCTTTGAGAGAAGGATGAAAACATCGTACTTTTGGAGAGAGACATAGAACTCATCTTACAGATGAGAGCACAGAGACACAGATTGTGAAGTAACTTGTCCAATGTCTCACAAGTTGAGTAGCTGGCCCAATAGAAACCTATTCTTGTAGTATCGCTGAGATATTGCCCACTACCCATCAGTATTCTCATCCATCTTTTCATTTTGAACTTTCCCCATACCTAGTACTATGTTTTGTACATAATAGGTGTTTAATAAATAGTTACTGGATGGAATAATTAAGTTCTTTAAATGATAAATATGGACATTTCTATAAACATTTTAAGGTTTACAAAGGTTTATAATACTTTCTTCACAACGCTCTTGTGTTTCATTAACACCATTTTTCTCATCATGATGTAGTAGTAGAAAGTGTACTAGAGTCAGAGGACCTAGGTTTTGAGTTCTGGCCCTGCCATTTTGTAAAGTTGGGTAAGTCATTTCCTGTCATTGGGTTCTAATTCCTTCATCTGTAATCTGAAAGATGGACTAGATTATCTCTGAGGTTCCTTCTAGCTCTTAATCTTATGAACCCCATTTTGACAGCAGGGGAAACTGATTTGCCTAAGGTTACATAGCTAGAAACTATCAGAACAAACCTAGACTTGAACTTAGGTTTAGTGACTTCGAATTTAGTGCTCTTTCCGTACCCCCATGACTGCCTCTCCTGTTTCCTTGGCCTTGTCTCTACCTACCTAGTCTCAGCTGCTAGCCTTCCCTCCAGGCTGCTCCTCAGGGGCCCAGCATGGACATAAAGTTCTTTAAGCAGGTAACATATGTATGTGGAAAATGGGGAATTTATTTATTTAAACTTTTGAAAGCTTCTGTCAAGATTCCACACCAAACATTTTTATTTAATGGAATCATCATAGAATCAGATAGAATGTTTTTCCTGGACAGGAAACTGGTGGTTAGAAACAGGAAACAAAGGCTAAGAAATGACTGAGTATTTCTTCATATGGCAAAGTGTAAACAGTAGGCTCCCCCAGTTTACGTGGCAGCCGGGCTTACTTAACACTTTTATAAATGAGCTGGAGGAGTCTCCAAGCATAATCTAAAAAGTGTGTAGTGAATGATAAATTCAGTTTCCTCCTCACAATATGTGTTACTCAAGCTGTTAATAAACAGCAATGATGACTGATGATGATGAGTTTTGTTTTGTGTAATTTCCTTTGCTTTCACCACAGATAAAGGTTCTGGCAAGCAGCGTAATGACTAAGAGGGGCTAATTCACAGACCAGATAATTAACCCTTGGATAATTGAGATTATATTTGTAATTGAGTAAATCAGGCCACTTTTCCTATTATTGATCTCACACACGATGGTGATGGTGGTGGTATTCCTCATTTCAGGAATGACTATACCCGAAGAAGATGCTGACGTGGGACAAGGCAGTAAATATTGCCTTGTGGCGATTGGGAGACTTCAGGTAAGACCAGTTCCTGTTCTTATATTTTATTCCATCTTCCACCATGATGCGTCAATGTTTGAGATTTCTAACAAGTTTGGTATCATCTTTGGAGACAGTATAAAGGGCTTTTGGGTAGAAAGAATTTCATTTACGTGGCTGCCAACATAAGCTCAATCTATATAAGTCACTCTCATCCAAGAACCAAAATGTTTGGTGCCATCCGGTCCAGTAGATTAGTAATCAGAAATCTATGCCTCCTTTTGTCAGTATACAAGCTCCCTTGGAACCTTGACCTATTCGACTAACTGTTCTATTTCTTGTATCCCCATGTGTGAGACAGAAATGTTTTATTTTATATGGGCTTAAGCCATTATTTGCGTCTAGATCAGAAATAATAAAGTATCTACACGGAATGTAAATTGTGATTAAAATGGATTTTGTTTGATCGTATACCTTCTGCTTTATTCAGGCTGGCCTCAACCCACCTGTGAAACACGAGGTACTTATTGTTCATACCTGTGCCTTTATTCTCATGTTGGCATAATCACTGACATGAATATAGTGCTTTAAAGTTACAAAGGTATCACAGGTATTAATATCCTAATTTTACAGATGAGGAAACAGAGACTCTGGGAGTTTAAGGCGTTTGCCCAGGAACATAGAGCTCATAAGTATCAGAGGAGGATTTGAATGTCAGTTGTCCTGATTCCAGGTTCAGTACCCTATTGACCATGCCGTGCTCTCTGTCATTGCTTTCACCTGGAATGTCTTCCCCTCACAACTTTACCTACCAAAATTGTACCTGTCTGTCAAGGCTCAGGTTAAATCTTACATCCCTCATGAAGTTGTCCCTGATTTCTTCAACCCTCACTCATCTCTGAACTGCTGTAGCTTGTGATCCATATCCAAATCAAGACAATAACTGTTGTGTGTGTATTAGATGTAAGATATTGTGCTAGGTACTGGGTAACAATTTTCCATTTACTATTACCCTGATTGAGACCTTCCTTACCTATCATCTGGTCTATTATAGTAGGGATCCTTAGAATGTAATCTCCTTGTGGAAGGGACTGGTTCCCTATTGTCTTTGCAACCCTAGCACCTAGTAGCCTTGCATATACAAATTACTCAATAAATGTTTGTTGATTGATCCTTGGAACCTATCGTGTGTGCTGTTGCCAGATGAACGATCCTAAAGTAAAAGTAAACTTCTTTTGAGGCAATCAGAGTTAAGTGATTTGCCCAGGGTCACACAGCCAGTAAGGGTCCAGTGTCTGAGGTCATATTTGAACTCAGGTCCTTCTGACTCCATGGCTGGTGCTCTATCTACTGTGCCACCTATCTGCCTCTAAAGTAAACTTCTGATCATTTCAATACCCTTTCTATTAAAGAAACTTCTGTGGCTCCCCATTGTCTGTTGAATAAATTTCAAACTCCTTCAGGTATCATTTAGGGACCTCCATAGGGCCTCAAACCAAACTACTCACCATTCCCCAACTACTCACCATACTCTGTTCTTCCTTATGTCAATGGCTTTGTTTATGTGCACAATTGTCTTTTGCTGGAATTCCTTTCTTCTACCTATTACTAACTGTGAACACCAACTCATCATTGAACACCCAGCCCTCTACTAAGCTATCTTTGTTCATTCCCACCCTCCAAGCTAAAAGTAATCCTCTTTATCCTCTGTGCTTCCCATAGTGCTTTGTTTATTCTTCTCCTAGAGTGATTAGCATGGTCTGCTTTTTAATATACTTGTTAGACGGTAACCTCTTTGAGGGCAGGGACTGTGATCTTCTCTATGTGTGTGATTTGGCCAGGTTCACATAGCTTATAAGTGTCAGAGGAGAATTTGAACCCAAGTCTTGTGAATAGTGTATATTCAAGAAATATTTGTTGGGCTAAATTGAGCCTAGTTAGGGTATATAAGACAGATATTTGAAAGGTTAAATAATAACAAAGGATTTAAGTAACAGTTAAAGGCAATTAAAAACAGTAAATGCTTAATGGCCAAGAGGATTATCCAGATGCTAATTGCTGTAGGAATTCAAAGAACTGAGAGATCACTATAATTAACACTTAATAATACATTACCTCATCTCTCAGCATGGTAGAGCAGGCAAGTCATAAATGTGTACAGGTTGATTTACTTATCTGCCCTCTAAGTCTTTGAGGGAAGGGATGGGTGTGACCTTGGGTGAGTCAATTAACTTCTTTTGGCCTATTGCCTAGTCTCTAAAATGAAGAAAATAGAGTAGATGATCTCTAAGGTTCCTTGCATCTCCAAATCTATGATTCTTTGTAATATGACCCATTTCTCCTTTGGTGATATTATATGTTAGAGAAGACAGACAGATTTCTTTTCTCAAATTGTGAGTGAAAGATACATTTGAGGGGACCTGAGCTCTCTTTCATAGCCTAGATGCATATCCCCCTTCAGAATTTTTGAATAAAGTTTCTCTTCTTTTCAGACTACTATGAGACTGAGTGACTCTTCCCCCAGTTTCCATCTGCTTTGCACCGCAGAGCTGTCTGAGTCAAAGTAGCCAGAAAATCTGTGGCACAAACAGGTTGTTCCATTTAACTGTGCATTCTTGGGAAAGCCACAGGAGTGCATATTTAACTGTGCATTCTTAGGAAACTGTGCATTTCTTAAGGAAGCTGATGCATCAGCTCTGTAGGAGGACATATTGATTGTGGCATAGAGTAGCATCAGAGGTCAGACAAATTGAATGTCAGAGGAGTTCAGGTGCTCAGGTTACTTTCCTTGCCAAAAAGAAATTTGCCCTAGGTGTTCTAAGGCCCTATACCTGGTCCTCTTGTTTCTCAAAATAATTTATAAAACTCTGCAGAAAGAGAAAGAGGTGCCAAGTGAAGATCAAGGATTTCTTCAAAAACTACATACACGTTCTAAACCTAGGTCAGTTATGTGGCTCTTCCTTCCTTCACTCCAACAAAAGTTGAATTTTTAACTCAAATAAGACAAAGGAACGTGTCGCATACAATATTAGCATGCACACATATTAACTGCATGGCAAGTCATCTTGCCAGATTCTTGGAATACCCAAACTAATTCCTGGTTGGAAGTCAGGTAACATTTATCATCCAAGTAGGTATGGTATCGGGAGAACTGGGATCCTGAAGGTGCATGCATTATTAGAGTTATGTTACAATGTACATTTATTTTTGTAGTGCCAAAGGAGAGCAAGTCTTTGGGGCTGTGTGAGTTCAAATCCTGACTGTGGCTAGTCTCTTATTTATGGGAGTATACACGTTGAAAGGTGGAAGCGGGGCAGGTAGGTGGCGCAGTGGATAGAGCACCGGCCCTGAAGTCAGGAGGACCTGAGTTCAAATCCAGCTTCAGACCAAACACTTGACACCTAATAGCTGTGTGACCCTGGGCAAGTCACTTAACCCCAATTGCCAAAAAAAAAAAAGAGATAGAAGCAAGGAAGTCAGAGCACTAATGACCTTAGCATGTGAAGATACATCCTTGAAGTGACAAGAATACTATAGGTTTAAGACATGGAGGACAAAGTAAAGCTTGAGGGTGAGTGCCTTCATGGAAAAAAGCAAAGGTACCAAGAGTGTTTTTAAATGTATGAGATAATGTATAGGGATGTAGAGGATACATGGGGGGGGAGAGGGAAAGAGAGCGAGAGAGGGAGAGAGAGACAGGCAGAAGTAGAGCAACTAGATGGCACAGTGGATAGAGTGATGGACCTAGAGTCAGGAAGACTCATCTTCCTGAGTTCAGTTCTGGCCTCAGACACTTACTAACTGTGTGACTGTGGGCAAGTCACTTACCCCCGTTTGCCTCAGTTTCCTCATCTTTTTGTAAAATGAGCTGGAGAAGGACATGGCAAACCTTCCTAGGATCCTTGCCAAGAAAACCCCAAATGGGGTCACAGAGAGTTGGACATGATTGAAAAACAACTGAACAAAAACAACAAGGTGGAAGAAGACATTTTTAAAATCTTTTGTCCAGACTTGTGATTCCATTGGTGTAAGGACCTCCCTCCTTAAAATCAGCAATTGTTCTGCATCTTCTAGTTTTAGAAAGCTGGTTGGGCCACTGAAAGATTAAGTGAATTATTTGCTCAGGTTCACATAGCTAGTATAGTTAAAGGCAAAACTGGAACTCAGGTCAACCTGAATCCAAGGTCAGCTCTATCCACTATACTATGCAGGTTTTCAGGGGATGACTAATAAAATGAAATAAATTTATATGGCGTGTAGTGGCATGAAAAGTTGCTCCTTTGAAAACATTTTCTGTCCGTCAGTTCCCTCTTCTCTCATTTTCTACATTCTGTTAACAGCCTACACACTGTCATTGTGATTTTGCCTTCTACCACAGCTCTTACTTAAAGATGGTATTCTCTCCATCTTTGCCCCATGATACAAATGAAGAACCACCCATTGTTAGGTCAGCCACAGACAAGGGACTAGAAATAGAAACTCTCTTTCTTTGGCTCTTAGGTTAGTCCATATACTCCCAGCCTACAGGTCTTCAGAACCCAGCTTCCTATCACGGTATTGGGAGCCTCCCTTTTCACAGACCATAGTCCTAGTGGGAAGGTCAAAGACTAAAGTTCTGAGGGATATTACTTTCCACGTTGTATCTTTCACGTCCCTTCCAAGCTCAGCATCCCCTGTGTGAAAGAAGCTATGTGAAAAGCCTTGGTCTCTTCTCCAGCTGTGGCTTTTACCCTTTTTCCCTTTGATCTCACCCCTGCTCACTGTATGGAGGGAGACATCAGCACAAACTGCCTGCAGAGATTGTGGGAAGGGTGGAGGAAGCTATCCAGTCCCAGCCTGATAGCAGAAAGAGGCTCAAACACAGTTCATCATGGGAGGCTTTGGATATGGCCCTGACTCCTTTATTTCTGGGGAAGCCAGGAGCGTTCTTGTGCTTCATTAGCTGCAGATGGGTTGCGCCTGCTGGCACCCTGCTAGGAGGGCAGTATTCACAGCAGCAAGGCTGGGAACAGTAGACACACAGTCCCATTCCCTGGGTCTTTGACTTAGGACCACACCTATCTGAGTTTGGAACTCAATATGAAGAGAGTGCCCATAATTCAGATACACAAAACCCAGAGACTGGTGTGGGTTGTTTCTATCTTTGTGTACTAGAACAGGGCATTGCACTTAGTAGAAATTTAATAAATGATTGTTAAGTTGATTGAATGATGAAATTGTGGTTACACTTCCCTGAACTGAAAACTTTTCCTTTATTTGCTCCTTTCCCCTCTTCGCCTTATTTTCCCCAGATGAACCATTTGCCTTCTGCTGTTTCTCAAGGAAGCCTCACCTTCTATTCCTTCTCCCCTCACCTCCTGATCAACCACATGATTCTTGCATTCAAGAGCTATTTGTAGATTATTACAGACTGCCAACATTGTTGTTACCTCCCATTTGCTATCCTTACCATATCTTTATATCACTATCTCCAAATCTTTATTGCTATTATATATCTGTTAACATTGCTCAAATCCCTTCACCTATGTGTACGTGTGTATTGACTCTATAGTAGGCAAGATTAGGGCTGAATTTGGAGAGAGGACAAGAAATAGGGCTCCTTGTCCTTAAAATGCTAAGCAATGCGGTTCTTGATTCCTTGCACCATCATAATTATTCCCATGGAGACAACTGAAATCTAGATTGTCCATATGAGACAGGAGATCCAGCTCTACTCTTATGTACAGTTAAAGGAAAAAGCTAAAAATTCTTGGGGAATAAACTGTTGTAATTTCTTTACAGTCATGTATTTGTTACCAGAGGGCTAGCACTAATAACAATAATAATAACTAGAAATAATATAATGCTTTAAGATTTTCAAAGTGCTTTTCAAATATTTTATCCTCATAACAATTCCATTTTACAGATGAGGAAACTGAGGCAGACAGGTTAAGTGACTTGCCCAAAGACACACAACTAGTATCTGAGTCCGGTTTTGAACTCATTGCTATCATTTGTCAACTTCCTTCACATCCATCCATCACCTCCTACTGCCATGAACCAATTTCCAGCCTCATTACCTCTTTAGCCTGCATTATTGTAATAATCTCCTAAGTGGCCTTCTGCTCTTGTCTCATTTTTCTTCAATCCATATTTCACACCACTTCCAAAGTAATCTTCCTAAAACTAGCCAGATTTTTCTGTTCCCCTGAGAAAAAAAAAAAAAAGAAAAAGAAAAACACTGTCGGTGCCTCTGGCTTACTCACCTCTACCACTATCTACCATGTTTAAAGTTCATGACCTTTCACAACCTGACTTCATGCCACCTTTTCAACCTTATCTCAAATGACTCCCAGTCATGATTCTAGCCAAAGTAGACTACTCACCATTCCTTAATCTTGCCCTGTTTTCAGTTGCCTACCTTCTTCCATTCTTTTATTTCTGCCATCCTGTAGGGCTTAAATGCACAGCTAAGTGCAGTGGATAAAGCATTGAGCCTGGAGTCAGGAAGACTCTTTTTTCTGAATTCAAATGTGGCTTCAGACACTTACTAGCTGTGTGACCCTAGGCAAGTAACTTAACCCTGCTTACCTCCATTTCTTCATCTGTAAAATGAGCTGGAGAAAGAAAGGACAAACTGCTCCAGTATCTTCAACCAAGGAACATCAACAAATATGACTGGAATAGATTTTACCCTTCCCTTATCACTCACTCTACCTGTGCCTTTCTCTTCAAGGCTTGAACTCAGGTGACCATCTCCACCAAGAAGCCTTCTTTAACTCTCCTCCCCTACCTCTCAACCTGAAGGTGGTCCTTCCCTTTTTGAAATGTTCACATTACTTTCTTTGGAACTCTGTGATATATTGTAAAGTACCTAGATTTGACTCCTGGCTTTGATGTTGTCTAACTTTGTGACTTTGTATAGGCAAGTCATCTAAACTCAATGAGCCTTAGTTTCCTCATCTGTAAAATGGATATAAAAATCCTTTCATTTGTACATTCTCTCCATATTGTTAGGTTCAATATTTAAGCTGAGCCACCTTTCCCTAAAACATTTTTAATTTACAAAATTTCTTTTCTTATAGATCCAGCACTGTTGTGCCTAGACCAACAATTCATGATGTCTGTGAAACAAGATAAACCACATTTTAACATTTGCTTGTTAACAGAAGTATGTTGATTTTTTTTTTCATTTTTCCCCCTGAAATTTGAACGTTTTCTGCTGATTCTAACTTTCTCAGGTAACCAGCTCTCCTGTGTGCATGGACATGAATGGGATGTCTGTCCCTGCTGAGTTCTTATCCCGACACAACTCTGAAGGAATCATCACATTTGTGGATCCAAGATGCATCAGTGTTATTGGCTACCAACCACAGGTCAGTAGGTGATTCAGTACTCATGATTCTTGGCTAGCACTATTTAGAAAATCCATCTTCCCTAATGGACAATAAAAAGTGTTTATTCTTTGCTAGTGACAATATCAACACAGTGTTGGGAAGCAAAGCTCCTTAAACAATATGCCCAATCTAGGTAAAGTATTTTGCTAGATGCACCTTGACGTCTTAAGCAACTCTAAATTAAAACCTCTCTCAACCCATGGAATGGCATTATACATAATAGAGTCATCATCTGTAATGCCAAGAACACCTATATTTTTAGCAGCTATGAACTCCTTGCTCATAACCACATTACTCATACGGATCTTTTAGCTTTGTCAGCTAAAACGCTGGCTCAAAACTTCTGAATATCCAAAGGGAATTTATCTTGTCTTTCAGATAAAGTTGATGGGCAAGTTGTTTTATTTCCCATGTACTATAACATTATATTGGAGGGCATCTAGGTGGTGCAGTAGATAGAGCACTGGTCCTGAAGTCAGGAGGATCTAAGTTCAAATCCAACCTCAGATACATAGTAATTGTATGACCCTGGGCAAGTCATTTAGTCCTGTTTGCCTCAGTTTCCTCATCTGTAAAATGAGATAGAGAAGAAAATGACAAATCACTTCAGTATCTTTGTCAAGAAAACTACAAATGGGGTCACGAAGAGTGGGATAGGACTGAAGCTACTCAACAACAAATAACATTATATTAGCAGAATGCTGTCTTAAAAGCCATGATAAAAATCCATTTGTGCAACCACATTGGCCACAAAAGATGCATATTTTCAGGTTGGGGAGGTTTATATCCAGCTACTATTTTCCCAGTTTTGTCAGTGTAGACTCAAGCTTAGCTGAATTCTGTAGATTTGACCAGGGAGTAAATATAATGGCTTGATTGTTTTGGCTTCACCAAGTAATAATGTCTCCCCGTGCATCCACTTGAATTCAGTGGTTTGACTTTATATTGGTTGATTTCTGTGTGCAAGTATTCATCCATTATGTTAGATATTTTCTTTCAGAATCATGCTAGCTCTTTTGAATAAAACATCAAATAATGGAGCTAAGTAGTAAATGTTCTCTTAACTACAAAATTGTTTCATGTATGATAGCATCTTTTCATCCTAAGAGAACTACAGTTTCCACATCTAAACAATTACAGTTTTCATAAGCAACACATTCTGTCTTCACTTGGTCATTTTACTTTCTTTTAATGTTTATTGGAAACCTGTTTATTATATTCTGTTCCTCCAAAGCAAACAGAAGGTAAAAATTCATCTTCCTAGAAAAAAACAGTTCTTTAGACTATTAATGTATTGCCATAAACAGGCACTGATCTTGCTGTCAAATATGTCTGAAACATAGTATTGTTAACAGGAAGTTTAATGCAGACACCAAGAGAAGAATTCTTAGCTGCAATTTTAAAGTGCATCTGAGGGGCACTAGTAGGTATGGAAAAAGACTGAACAAACATTTCCTTACAGCAAAGAAATGAAATGTGAACAGTGGAAGTTGAAATTGTGTACTGAGGCTTTTCTTTTATGTCTAGGATCTTCTGGGAAAGGACATTTTGGAATTCTGCCATCCTGAAGATCAGAGCCATCTAAGGGAGAGTTTTCAGCAGGTACTATCCTAAAAATGAGTCCATAACTAGTGCATAAATCTGAATACTTTTCCATATGGCCAACAAGATGAGTTTGGGTGTGTGGTAATGCATGTGTCCATGTCTAGTACATAAATAACTGTCCCCTAATTAAACTTGTACTAACAATAGAGAAAATTTGACTCCATTTAAAATTTATGAAAGTATATATAACAGAAATGTGTTGGTAAATGTTTAACAACTGGCTCTCTCAGAGGGAACAAGTATATGTGACATACTTTTAAGTTTAATCTGCATTAGTAACATTTTCTTCATCATTTTCTTAAGTCTAGACAATCACCAAAAATTAATTTAAGCCCTGATTTTTAGCATTTGCTAATTTCCAGGGTGTAAATATTCCCACTGAAAATTTAACAATCAGCTCTCATGAAGCAGTTCCAGCTGGCTCTAGCACACCTTTGAATGATATGATATGTTTATAACCAAAGAATTGGAAGGGACCTCAGAAATTATCTAGTCAAATCTTCTCTCTGTGCACATGTTGTCCTCAAGCAGAATGTAAGGTCCCCAAGGGCAGGTTCTATTTTCCTTTTGGGAGACTTTGCACAGTGCCTTTTATGAAGTAGTGCTTAGTAAATGTCTGTTGAGTTGGATTGGATTGGGTTGAATGGATTGGAATTTTAATTAGAAGGAAAACCTGACTTGGAGTATGTATTCCGAATGCCTCAACTGTTTGTTATAAATCTGTGCATCTAAAGCTATGCTGTACCTCACAGTCTCCCAATATAAAGAACTTCTCCAAAAGTTAATGTTTTCAAGAAAATTTCTGCCTACACCTAGAGGTGTTTCCTACACTTAAAACGGAGCAATGATCCATATATATGAATACCTATAAGGGAAGGCCAAATCTGGAGTTCCTCAGTCCCCATAGGGACCTTTGCCTTTTGTTCTCCAGATTAGAACACCTAGAGAAAGTTGACAATAGAGAAACTGCTTCTCATACATAGTTCATAATAAGTTTATAGAATTTAGAGGTCCTCTAGTTTGCCTTCCCCCCACCTCCATCCTGTTTTTAGTCCAGTGCATCTGTTGCTCAGAGAAGTGAAGTGACAAAAGCTAGGTCTTCTGAAGCCAAATTTTTTTCTTTTTCTTAAGTATTATTGATATCTCTTGCTTTTACATGGATTTCATTCCCTAATGTCCCCCTATGTTTCCTACCCAGGAAACCATCCCTTGTGATAAACAATGAAAGAGGAGACTAATCAATGCATCACACAAGTTTGACAGTGTGTCCAGTAGTTCGTTTCCCTGTCTCTGCAAAGATGGGAGTAAGGTGCAGTTTTTCATCTTTTCTGGAGCCAAATTCACTACCCTTTCTACTATGCAAAAATAAATGTCTTTTGAAAATGTACAAGTATTGGTAGGTGCCTTCTAAAAGTTTTAGGAGTTTACAAGGTAAAGGGAAGCCAGTATCTACCCTGAGTCAAAAGACCAGGGCCTCTGCTTTCACCTCTGCAGCCACTTATCTATAGGAATTTGAGCTCAACTTCCCCATCTGTAATGTAACCTATATAAGCTTTGCGAATCCTTATCCCAACCTCTCCTCACACTAACAAGTCAGGTTCCCAGAGAGGTAATGGCAGGTTCTCCCTCAGAGTTCTATAGGCTCCCCTTAGGGGTTGAAAATATATTTTGAATGCTTTTGACTGGAGCCCCCATTGCAGTGTGCTGTTATCAATATTAATTGCCAGGTCACTTCAGCATCATCTAATCAGTGACTATCTCGTTATCACCATATCTCAGCATCACCAGTACCTCTTCTAGTGATATTTAACCAATCAACTTTCAATTTCAATTCAACTAAGCATTAATTTTCACAAGCAGTTATTTATAGTGAGAACAGAACTGTTAAATTTCACATAGAGATAGACTTATAAAAAGGGTCATTGCCTGTCCATCCTGGAAAGAGTAATGGAATGGAAATCAGGGGACCTGATTCTAGCCTTAGTTCTGCCACTAACTCAGTGGGTCTGTCACTTTATCTCTCTAGACCTTGGTTTGCTCCTCTATAAGATCAGTCAATTGAGTATGATCATTTCCAATGTCTTCCAGCTCTAAAATCTCTGGTTATAGTACATGGAGTAAATGGGATTTGAAAACTGTTTTAATCACCATTTATGACATGATTTCCATGGGGGAAATGAATTTTGAGTTCCAAACAGCTGAGTTGGAAATTTGAAACAACCCAGTGGTAAATGGAGGACTGCCTAAATTAGTTTTTAACTCAAATGCTTCACAGACTATCACTTAACTTCTATTAATAAACTTTTTCATTTTTATTAGTTTTTTTTTTGCATTTTCATGAGTTCTTCCAAAAGTTTGTTTATACATCCATCATGATGTTCTATCCTGTGACCATGACAGAGCTGTTCTTGTCTTTAAAGACTTCATGGGGAAAAAAAAAGTATTTTAAAAAATTAACTTTCCAACAGCATTGGGAGACTTAAGCTGCATGTGAAAAGCAGTGAGTTTGGACTTAAGGGAGCTGCTTTTGGAACTTGGGTATGCCTTCAGTTAACATGCCTTGGAAGTGATGGGAGCCGTTAACATCCTCAAACTGCCAATTTGGAGAGTTGTTGGCAGGAGTAAGGCTGAATGGAAATGTCTGGTGTGTTTCATCATGCTTAAGTATAGGGCAGCACAACCATAGACTAAGATTTTTGGAAATTCTTATTCTTCTTATGTATGGTTCATTCATCTTGACCCTGAAAGGAGCTACTATGCTCCCTCCCCTAACAAGATCCTATGTAAGGCAAGAAAGTACAAGGCACTTTGAGGAGGGTTGGAAATGGGGCCACTTAGGTCCTGTGTCCCATCCCTATTTTTTGAGGGAACTTCCTTTTATTTTTTTTTTAACATTTAAATGAATTTATTTCAATGAACAAAGCAGCTGCATAATGCTTTCTCAGGTCACTTCCTCTAAGTCCCGGTGATTGAAGCCTGGGTGGGCTCCTGGGGCCACTGCAGCTGTTGTGGCCACAACCTGTCCTGTACTCTGCCCTTTGGCTCAGGCCTCCAGGAAGTTTTGTGGACTGGTGGTATGAATTACCAAGATAGACCTGGGGGCAGGGAGAGTTGTTAGAAATGTTTGACTGAGGTCTAACTGGCTTCAGGATGCTTCCTTGACTTCCTGACTGTGGAAGGGGAATTTTCTTTCCACTCCCCTCTCTCATGGAAGCCATGCCTTTTCATCATCATGTGGACTATATCTTCTCTCTACACTTTTCTTTCTCATTTTTTTCCTCTTTTTCCTTCCCGCTCTTCTCCTTTTCACCATCTACCCTATAGTGACCTCCCAGTTTCCCTCTGGTGGCTCTTTCTTTTTTTCCCCATCCTCCTTTTCTCATTAATGTCTTTCTCTATCTCCCTAATGCCTCTATTCTCCTTCATCTTTGCTTCCCTTTCTTTTTCCCTTTACCACATTTATTTACACTCCCTTTTTCTCTCTCAATTTCTTGCCTTCCTTCCTTTTTCTTTCTCCCTCTCCTTTTTATATTTTTCTTCTCTATTTTCTACCCAATTCCTTTTTGTATCCTATGCCTTCACCTTATTTTCCCCCTTTATTTCCTTGTCTTTTTCTTGTGCTGCAAAACAGCATGACATAGTGGAAACGGTGCTGGATTTGGAGTCAAAGGACCTGGGTCCACATCAAAGTTGGGCTATTTTGCTATATGAGAGACTTTGAGCAAGTCATTTAACTTCTCTGTTGTGTCATCTATAAGAATGGGGAGGTGTCATACTCAATGATAGCTAGAGTCCTTTCTAGATTTGACCTTAGAACATAATAATAATTCATATAGAACTTTAATGGTTACAAAAATCATTCTCTCTTTTGTAAAGGTATGAGTCTTCTTACACTGGACATAATTTAAGTTCGTAGTTCATCTAAACCCTACCATGGCCAGTTATTTTAGAATACAGTATTAATTATGCCTAAATGTGGTCCTTTCATGTCCCAGTTGACCTGCTTTGTTCCATGGCCACATGTTCTTCCTCTAACCCATGCCATTGTCATTGGCCTCGAAAAGAATGAATGAGAAAGTGTGAGAGAATGAGTGAAAATTAATCACCAGAGCTACAAAAATAAATCAGAACATAGGAATTGCTAATCTTGAGTCAGCATAACTTCTGTACACAAGTATTATTATTACATAAAATCATGTTGCTATCTAAATCCTGCTAGTAAGTAAGTAGCCTCTTAGATCCTAGAAAGGTAGCACATTAGAGATGGAAGGAACCTTTTAAATCATCCATTGCAACTTCTTCATGGTATCATGGAAAGAACAATAGATTTGGAGTCAATTTTGTGTTTGAATTATGGCTTTGCTATTCACTATCTCTGTGAACATGGCCAGTTATTCCCAAAGTTCTTTCCTTTGCAATTTTCTGTCATCTCTTCACCTCTTCCCTCTAATTAATATTTCTTTTGAAGATAGCATTTTTATTTATGTACTTATATAAGTAGCCACATGATATATGATATTAGTTCACTTTTGTGCTAGTGATCAATTTTTGAGGATTTTATTTGAGAAAAATATGAAATGTTTTAAAGGTTAAGGATTATACAGTTGAGTTTTTGTGTTTTCCTTTTTAATATATTTCAAGATTTTCTTCAAAAAAATCCTCCCATACTTTCAAATGTATTATTATAAAATTAGTCTTGGCTTCACTCAGTCAATGAAAACCAACCAAACAGGAAGGCTTATTTTATTATTGGTGCATCAGCTTTAAAAAAAACATTTAAATTAAAATGGTAAGCATGATTTCGAGGGATATAACCATTTTATAGAGCCCCAGAAATTGCAAACTGCTGAGGTTTTCAGAAATTGGTTGGTTTTAAAAAGAAAAAAAAGAGGGATTTAGCATCTGATTTCTTGCCAGTACCCAGCTCATATAGCATCAGTTCCTTGAGAAGGCAAATTTATTCATGTGGTGGGAAAATTAAACCAGGACAGTAATGCCCTTCAGCCAACAATAATAAATGTAGCCCAGAATCAAAGAGTCCACTGGCCAGCTATCTAATATCCACTAGGAAATCCTTGGGCTGGACATTGACACAGCCTTTGTATTCTTTGGGATTCTGCCATTGGGCGTGGTGGTTAGAAATTGTTGATGAAAGGAAATGCCTTATTCATTGGAAACTGCAGAGGAGTTTATTTCAAATAAAAGTGAACTCTTTAATTTTAACAAAAGTATTTGAATATCCTATGCTTAATACCCTATGTGACATGGTGAACATATTCATGAAATCTTTGCTTAGCACAACAGTACTTAATAAAACATATATAATACAAAACTGGAAGTCAAATTTAAAAAGTAAAAAAACAAAATATTCCTTGACAGGCTAGAACATCTTGAATCAAATAAGATGAAATTTAGTAGGAATAAATGTAAAGTCTTGAACTTAAATTTAAAAAATCGACTTCATAAATGCTAGATGGAGCATGTTGTGGCTCAGTAGAAGTATATCAGGAAAAGATCTGGGTCTTTTAGCATATTCAATATAAGCCAACAGGGTGATAATACAACTAAGAAAGCTAATACAACATTTGGCTCCATCTAAAGAGGAAGAGTGTCCATGACTAAGAAAGTGATCACTTTACTCACATTTAAGGACATTTATAAGCTGGAAAGTGTCCAAAGAAATTGAAGACCCTTGAGGTCTTGCCATATAAGAACTGAAGAAAATGGTGGTGTTTATCTTGGATTAGAGAAAATGCAGGGAGGACTTGATAGCTATCTGTATGTATTTAAAGAATTACCTTATAAAGAGAGATTAGGCTTACCCTGTTAGGTACCAGAGCTAGAAGAAGCTCTGTGAATGCAAGTAATAAAGGAGCAAACTGAGACGATATAAGGAAAAACTTCATAATATCCAGTTTGTTGTCATTGTTGTTTAGTCATTCAGTTGTGTCTGACTGACTCTTCATGACCCTGTGGACTATACCATGCCAGGTCCTTCTATCCTACACTATCTCTTGAAGTCTGTCCAAGTTCATGTTTGTTGTTTCCATGACAATATCTATCCACTTTATCCTCTGCCCTCCCCTTTTCCTTTTTTGCCTTTAATCTTTCCCAATATCAGGGTCTTTTCCAATGAGTCCTGTCTTCTCATTATGTCATCAAAATATTTAAGACTCAGCTTCAGTATTAAGCCTTCTAGTGAATAGCCTGAATTGATTTCTTTAAGTATTCTTTAAATATTGACTGATTTGATCATGCTTCCCAGAGCTATCCCAAATTACGGTGGGCTATCTCAGGAGGCTGTAGGTTTTTCTTCACAAGATGTCTTCAGATAAAAACTGGGTGATCACTTGCTAGGTATGTTATAGAGAGAATTCATATTCTTGCACTGTTGGACCATATCACCTCTGAGGTACCTTCTAAGTCTGACATTCCATGATTCTGTGAAATTCTATCTAGGCATTATAAGAGTAAAAGAAAATGCTGGCATGTTAATCTGGAAACCTGGGTTCTCTCTGTCTAACTAGCTGGGTGACCTTGGGAAAGTCAGTTCACCTCAATTGGCCTCAGTTTTCTAATCAGTAAAATGGGGAGACTGGTGAATGATCAGATACTGAGAGAGTATGGGGGGGTTATATAGACTTTCAGAGACATAGAGGAATATGTCATAAGGCAACCTAGCAGAAGTCTTGCTTTGAAAAATAAAGATTGGAGAGGAGGGAGAAGAGAACCTTTTTTTTTTTGATACTTGCAAGATGAGAGCATTGGTTCAATATATTTGTGAAATGTTTGCAACTAGAGAAATTATCTCCATTTTATCAGGTACCTTAGTATATTACTTCTGGAGAACCCAGAGGAAAGAAACAATAAGTATAGAGGAAAAACCTAAAACATTCATTCAGTTCAAAGAACTAGGCAAATAACTATGGAACTGAAATTGAGAAGACTGGTTTACACCTGCCTGAATAAGGCAAATCTGACCATATAACCCACTTATTCAGTCAACTCCAGTGGCTCCCAATTGCCTCCAGGATTAAATAAAAAATCCTTTGTTTGCCTTACAAAGCCCTCCATAATCTGGCCCCTTCCTCTCAACTCTTGAGTGTTTTCTCTGGCTGTCCCTCCAAGGCTGGTATTCTTTCCCTCTTCATCTCTGCTTCTGGTCTTCCCTGGCTTCCCTCAAGACTCAGCTAAAGTCTCACCTTCTTCTAGAAGCCTTTCCCAATCCCTCTTCATGCTCATGTCTTTCCTCTGCATATATTTTGTTTGTATGTAATTGTTTGCACATTGTTTTCCCCATTAAACTGTGAGCTTCTAAGGACAGGGCTGTCTTTTGCCTTTCTGTGTATACCTATTACTTAGCACAATGCTTGGCGTGTAGTAGGTGCTTAATAAATGCTAGTTGACTGGCTGGCTGACATTTAGGGCTACCTTGCTCTGAACATGACTAGCATCTTCCCAGACAGGCTTAACGATTTCACAAAATCATCTGAGAGTTAGAAGTGCCCTAGAAGACCATCGGCCTAAGATTACATCAACTTTCATACTTAGTACTGCTAATTTGGAATGAGTTTTGCCTGTATTTATCTATTGTCTTTTGTCCTGTTCCTAGGAAAAGATAAGTGCTGTTTAACATCACACACCCTAAGCTGAGAAACACTAAGCTTCTCTCTCCTTTAGGTAACCTAGCCTGCCTCTTCAACTGTTGGACACTCTCCAAGCTTATCCTATCAAGCTTCAGTGGTGAATCCCCAAAGTGAATGGGATATGTCATTGAATGAAGACAGTTGTAATTTTGAAGGTGGAAGGTTATTTTATAATATGTCTATTGCAGGCAGGGCAGAGAAGTGGAAAGTGCTCTGGCCTGGGCTCTAGTATAGCTTTTGCCACCAAATATTTTTGTGTCTTCAAACAAGAGACTCAGCTTCTGAGAGACAGTTAGGCGACGTAGGGGGTAGAGTGCTGAGTTCCATTTGCACCTCAGACACTGACTAACTGTGTGACTTTTTCAGCCCCAGTTTCCTCAACTGTAAAATAGAGATAATAATAATAGCCACCTCACAGAGTTGTTGTTAGGACCAAAGATAATATATGTAAAATGCTTCACAAACCTAAAAGTGCTACATAAATGCTCACTAGTAGTAGCAGCAACAGCAGTAGTAACAATAGTGGTAGTTGTAGTAGCAGTAGTGGTGGTAGTAGTGGTAGTAATAGTAGTAGTATGTAAAATTTCCTCAGTTTCCTATTCTACAAATGAGAAGTTTTTGCATAATGATCTTTAAGGTAGCTCCAACTCTATGGCTCTGTTCTCCTTGCTACCTGTGTGAATATGAGCAAGTCACTTAACCTTTCTTCTCCTTGGTTTCCTCACTTGTATGTAATATGAAGATGTTGGACTATGATCTCTAAAGTTCCTTCCAGATCTAAATCCTTCTTTTTTTATTTTTACATTTTAGTATCATTCTTATTTTGGGGGAGAAATCACCTCCTTGTGGCCCTCTGTGTTTCCAGGCAGCTAGGTGATGTGGTGGGTAAAGCTCTGGACAAAGAGTCAGGAAGACCTGAGTTCAAATCTGACCTGAGACACTTACTAGCTGGGTGATGCTGGGCAAGTCACTTAATCTCTGTTTGCCTCAATTTCCTCATATGTAAAATGGAAATAATAATAGTACCTGCCTCCCAGGGGTGTTGTGAAGAACAAATGAAATAATTATTTGTAAATCACTTAGTATAGTGCCTGGCACATAGTACATAAGTACTACAAATGTAAATATTTGCCCCCCTTCCTTTTCTTCTTCCCATCTAATTCCACTCTTCTGTCTACTTATCTCTATAAACTGTTTCCTCAGGTTGTTAAGCTGAAAGGCCAAGTACTATCGGTCATGTATCGATTTCGGACCAAAAACCGGGAGTGGATGTTAATCAGGACCAGCAGCTTCACTTTTCAGAATCCTTATTCTGATGAGATTGAATACATCATCTGCACCAACACCAATGTCAAGTATGTGTTCTCCCTTCCCCTATGTTTTATTCCAAATGGAAATGATTTTTCATAAAAGAATGCTTCTTGTTTTCAGGTGGAATATTGAGTACCATTCCACTGCTATTACTTTGTAAAAAAGAAAATTTGCCCTTCTGCAGGATTCGTCTGTGGAAAGTGTTCCTTCACAGAAACTAGTGTGTCTATGAGGGGGTGGGGTGAAGGAAGGGCAGGATGCCAAGTCAGGTTTGCAGTTCCACTCTGGGGACCCATCTTTGCCACCCCCTACACTATCTGGGGTGAAGGAACAAAAAAGCCTGGTAGTCATGGTTCCCTATGCCTTCTTCCTTCCTCCACCCCCACCCCCACTAAATTGCTCATGCATTGGAATGAAATCCTTCCCTCTGTTATTCTGGCTTCAGTTACCCAGATTCCTCATCCTGCTGGGATGTTGGGGTGGGGAGGTTGTGCTACTCAGAGAACCTCTTGGAAGAATGGGGCTAAAATACAAGGGCACTCAGTTTGGAGCCTGTGCTCTCTTATCTTATCCAAGCTTGGGCTGCTGGAATTCCCTCCTCTAGTCCTGGACTTTTTAGGTCCTCCACCATTCTGTCTTTGGATGGGATCTCGAATCTTTTTTTTTCTCTTTGTCCAAAAGGACGGTTCCCTGTCTTCACTTCCCCCCTTCCCTCTTCTGTTTTTCCATTGTCTTCTTTTCTGTTTCCCAGCATTCTATCTCTATTTGTGTTCGTTCTTCCTCTCCTCCCTAAGTCTGCTTTTCTGCAGCTTGCTTTCCTTTTCCTTCTCTATTCTTCCATGTCTTGAGAAACTGTGTGTCATAATGGAAAGAGCTAGATCTAAAGCTAGGAGAATGAATGAATGAATGAATGAATGAAGTTTAAAAAATATTTATTCAGGCTTCAACACTCTGCCAGGCTAAGGCCTGGATTTGAATTCTTCCTCAGTCACTTGTGACTATAACCTCTTACAGCCTCAGTTTTCTTATCTGCAAAGTACCTCATCAGCTGTTGTGAAGACGGTGGTTCTCGCACCTTAAAGTGCAAATAAATATAAGTTGTTCCTTTTTTCCCTTCTGTCCTTTTCCTCAACACTCCCTCTCTTCTTCCATCCCTCCAGGACACACAATTACTTTGCCTTTTGGTAGGGATAGTCAAGTCAGGTCACTTCCCTTGAATGTGTTATATACACAAGGGGAACCTACTGACATAAGGCAAAGACTTGGTTACAGGTCCTTCCTCTACCATGTAGTACCCCTATGACCTTGGCCATGTCTCTTATCCTCAGTTTCCTTACCTAGGAAATAGGGATAATAATACTTTTATTTCCTAATTACCTCACAGGGCTTTTGTGAAAAATCAAATGAAACAATGTAGGTGGAGCACTCTTTTCTTTCTGTCTCTCTGTCTCTCTATCTCTGTCTCTCTCTCTCTCTCTGTCCCTCTCTCTCTTACACATACACACATACACACACACACACACACACACACACACACGCACACACACAGAAATGAATGAAACCTCATTTGTTACTTACTTGTGTCTAGCAATGTGTGATGTAAACATCAGCTATTGTTATTATCTGTCCAGTGCCTATGCATCCTGTATGTTTGTATGTACATGGGGAAGGTCGGGGAAAGGTGTGGTGGAGCAAGGCAGAATGGCACTTCCTTGTATTAACCTGAAATAGTGTTTACTCAGTGCTTAAGTATGCATAGTGTCCTAAAAGATGATGGGAGGCCCAAGCTAGGGAAGAAATAAAGCCAAGCAGTTTTTATGCTACAGAGTGAGAGATGGACAGAGAAATCCTCAGGACCCTTCGTCAAATGTGAGGCACTTGAGGAAACACAGCTGGTTTGCCACTTTAGTGATTAAATATAAGCTGAGACCCCACTCAACTCCATGTATCACGACGTGGAACACATTTGCATAGAAGTAGCAACATCTCCCTGATCTGGTAAAGAAGGAGAAACTATGCTTTCCTGCTAAGTGGGTTCCCCTTTGACTGTAAATCACGGTTGACACCCAAACATTGACCCTACCACATCCTTCTGACCCCCAGTACTTCACTGGAAGTGGTACAGAAGAGCCAAAGACACTGCTTCAATCAGGCCTATACTGGAGGATTCCAGGGGAAGGTGTGGGATGGAGAAGAGTGTTGCCACTGAGTTGTTGTTCAGTTGTTTCAGTTATGTCTGACTCTTCATGACCCCATTTGGGATTTTCTTGGCAAAGGTACTGGAGCAGTTTGCTATTTACTTCTCCAGCTCATTTTACAGATGAGGAAACCAAGGCAAATGGGGTTAAGTGACTTATCCACGGTCATGTAGCTAGTAAGTGTCTGAGGCTGGATTTGAACTCAGGAAGATGAGTTTTCCTGACTCCAGGTCTGGTTCTCTATCCACTGTGCCACCTAGCTGCCCTTATCACTGAGTAGGTCCTACCAATTTCTGATTTAGTGCACAGACTGGAAGGACTAAATACCAGGAACTAAGATTCCCTCCTTCCCTTTCCTGATGTCCACTTTATAAGATCCCAAAGGTCTACATAAGGATACCTCTCTGTATTCCCCCAGTACCTGGAAAGGTTTTTGAAAGTATTAGAGCATCTGTAATATTTATATAAGGACTGAATGAATGAGGAGTAGAAATCCTTTTTCTACAGAAGATAAGAATGGGAAATGCCACAGCTGTGAAAGGTTCTCCTAAGCCAGACCGATGACCAAGAGACTAATTACTACCCAAAGAGGGGAAGGACATGGTGATCAAAGTCATGCCATATGCCAGGAATATACGTGCTTGGTTTATGTCTAAAACTCATATATTCTCTTTAATCTTAGTTGGATTGGATCTTTTTCACAAAATGCTCCAGGACTATTTTTAGCACTGTAGGTTAGCATAAGAAATAAAAAAAAGGTACTGTCCCAACCGTTTGAAAAAGATAACGCTGTAGGATTGTCCATACAGGAAATATCAGATTTTTTTTATTTTTAAAAAGAATTTTAGTTAACTACTTAATTCAGAGGTTGTAATATAGAATTAATACATTGTTAAAAATTTTTCTAAGAATCTCTGTATGCATGACCACTTTCCTCTCCACCTTTCTCTACCATGTCAAGTCAAATAAGGAAGTAATGAATTAGACCAGAAATCCCTGCAAAAAGAAAGACTTACAGCATCATGATTGATTCACCTGAGAGAATGAACACTTTTTATGCCTTTGAGTCCTTTGAATTTAGGAAAAGGGACATTCTCGTAGAGGAAGTATCTGTTCTCTTCTCTGCTTTTCTTTTTCTCCTTTCCCTCCCTCCCTCTATTCCTTCCCTTTCTCCTTTCTTCTTTTCTCTTTCATTCCTTTGTTTTTACTTTCATTCCTCTTGCTACCTCCTTTCTTCCACTCCATGCATGGTTTATCTCCCCTTCTTTTTTTAATATTCATTTTGATATGTTTTGTACATAATAGCTATTCAGTAAATATTTATAAATTGACCGTTTGACTTGAGAGGAGTTTTTTATAATCTATCTTGGACTGGTATATTCAGAAATGTTACTGAGTGCCAAGTCACATTTTTCTTTCTGAACCTCCTTGGAGAATAAGCCTGGGCATTACATTTTTCAGGAAATACAATAGTACAAGTGTTTGGAACCTAACAGAGTCCTCTAGACTTGGCTCAAAGAATTGAGTAGATTGGGCCACTCTATTTTCCCCAGTATGCAGTAGAAGGCTAAGTGTACCGTTTATTTTGGTAACAAATAATAGAATGCAGCTGTGCGTCTGTAAAAAGTTTAGGAGTGAGATTTTCAAAAATCTTCATTAAATTGTACCCCAGCATATGTCCTGTATATAGAGACTTCATTTGTCAGTACGATGCCACAGGTCAATTCTGAATCAATCTGTGGGCTAAGAATACATTTGTGCCAGTTAACAATAGTGTTTGTATATGTCGGTAATGGGCATGAAAATAGTGATGCTCACTGTTTTTGCATCTGCAAAATTGGAAACTGGAAGCCTTGCTGCAAAGCCTGACATGGGAACAGCTTGATGTCAAGGACATATTTTTTTGTTGATTCCCTAGATCTGGGGTTCTTCATCTTTTGTGCATACATATGTGTGTCATAGACCCCTTTGGCAGTCTGCTATAGCCTATAGACCCCTTCTCAGATCATTTTAAATGGTTGAGGAAAATACTAAAATTCAGTTAGAAGTTAGTGAAAATAAAGGTGTAACTTTTTTTTTAACAAACACTTGCCCTAGATAATATTCTGTTTAAATTGTAATGGCAGTTTCAGTTGTTACTGTTGTGTTAACTTCTTTGTTACTGTGAATCCTGGTTATTAATATTACTTTGATGAGCATCATTTATCATAGTAGTAGCTAAAGACATTTATACTGAATTGTAGAAGAAAAATCTCTTTTGGAAAAACCCAGTAGAGAAAAATTATTAGAAAAATTAGAGTTTTTTTAACATAACAAAAAAGTTCTCTGTAAGGTTTCTGTAAATAGACTGGAGGAAGTCTGTGGTACTCACAGTTCTGTGACTTTGGAGTCATGTTTATATTCACCACTTTCCAAAAGAATCACATGACCACCATGTGCCCCAGGGAGTCCAAGGCAACGGAATATTCAGAGATAGAAATGGAGGGTTAGAAAATGCAGGTAGGTCACGTGTAAACTTTCCATCTACCATTTTAAAGCAAGTGCCTAATTATCTTACTTGGCACATTGTAAATGTGTTTCTTTATTCATTCAAAATATGATTTGATCTGCCAAAATAAAATTGAGTCAAGTTTTAGAATTAATCTTTTTGTTTTAAGCAAGGTATTTCTTTTGTATAGACCTATATATGTACATATTGTCACTTCTAGTAGAATATAAGCTTCTTGAGGGTGGGAACTGTTTCATTTTTATTTTTTTTAATCCCCAGCACCTAGCACAGGACATGGTATATTGTAGGTGATTTATAAATGCTGTTGGCTGATTGATCTAAATAATTTCCACTGTTT